ATATAAGGATGTTAATGGTCTAGGTACCTTAAGTTCAGCATTACTCTCTGCATTTTTAAGCATGTGCAGCAAAAATTCAGCACTCTTTTTGGGCCACCGACCCTGTGTCCAGCCCCACTGTTTGGCCTAAAAGAGAAGGGAGGTAATTAGTCATTTTTCCTGACTTAACATCAGAACAAAGATCAATGTATTTTATACAAAATCAAGGTGTCTTTCATGGTTAATCCAAAAGTGTCCCCAGACTGTCATCGCAGCAACCAGAAAGAGCCTAATGAAGGCAGATCTTAGCCATTCTTATTCCACTGACCACTTCTCCATACAATCTGTGTTTTCAAATGGCAATTAAAAAGTCTCACCTGGGCACACCTACCAACTCCACCATTGTAACGTCGGAATGGTACACACTGTTTCTTTAAAGTGACATCTTTCAGATACTTGGTGGCTTTTCGTATATGCATACCCTTGATGGCCTGGGCAGTTTCACGAGTGTTCTAAGTATGAACAATAAAAAGTGCTGGTTAGCCATGCCAAAGTATTATCATTTAAAAAGTAAACATTAAGTTTTCGGATCTTCAAAATGCCCGTCAGTTAAAACCCCCTTTCTATTGTTTTTTATAGAGACAAGGGTCTCACCATGTCACCCAGGCTGGTCTTGAACTCAGCCTTAAGAGATCCTCCCACCTAGGCCTCCCAAAGTCCTGGGATTACACGCAGGAGCCACTGTGCCCCTTCCATATTTGAAAGATGAGGTAATGAAATCTAAGAGCCAGGGAGTCTTCATTTAAGGCTCAGAAAGATTAATCCTGTACCTCTATTTATTCACTAAAATGTTGAAATTCCATCATCTTGTAATTACAATTTTGTGTCCCATATCGATCTGCACAAATAGGTTCAGAAAAAGTTCTCTGGTAGTTTTACTCGATTCCACAAACCCTAAATCAAAGAGATCTTTATATTGATAATCGGTGTCTAAATAAGAGGTAGCTGCTCAGAGTTCATTAATTTTCATGGTCAATCCAAAGGTGTCCTA